TGAATCTATATTCGAAAAAAACACAAAATTCTGATTCTAACTCAATTTTTTTTTTGAAATATCTGTAGGCTCATTAAAAAGGCTGAAACATAAATGAACATTTTGCCAAATTACTTTTCAATCATCCGATTACATACCTTGGTACCCAAAGATTTGATGAACCAGTACTATTCAAAACAAAAAATAAATTATCTTTTCATATTTTTACTTTTTATTAAATCAAAAAAAACCATACTCGAATACAACACGAAATGTTTGAGCTGGTGTACCAATACCAATATCACCATAATATTGAGCCTAGAAATCATAATTATTTATCAGAAAATCAAAAGAAAAAACATTTTTTGTTTTTTTGTTGTTCTTACATCCAAATAATTTGTTAATGATTCAGGTATTGGTCCAGTAAGACTATATTTACGTGCAAATGCAATTGCTTTAGATGAAGCAACTTCAAAAAGTTGATCATGAGCTGATTGAAAATGATGTAATTTTACTCTAAATTTTTTAAAGATAAAAATAAATCAATAGATAAATTAATCTACTAACCGACGAAGACGAGCATCCGTTATTGAAATAATTAATAAAGAACAGACAATAATTGCAAGACAAGACAAACCTTGCATTTTGTTTTTTTATTAAAATAGTATCTCTAAAAACAGAATAACAAAATCTTGTTATTTATCTATAAGAAATAGTTGGACTGAATTGAGAAGACGCAAAGTGGTGAAATACGATAAGAAAAAGTTCGCTACATGTTATCATATCTATTTTACTTCGTTATTATCATTATTTACCAACAAATGGAGAAAAAAAAATCCGAGAATAGTTTCGTACAAAGATTACGAAGGACTTTCTTGGTAAATGAATCATTCTTTATCAAAGTTCATGAAAGCTTTTCTTTTTTTAAAAAGAAAATATTTCTAAGGAGAAACATCTAAATATCTTTTTGCTATCAATTGTTGCAACTACTTGAACCATCATATTGTAAATTCGATTATTTTTCTATTCTAAAACAAGATGACGATTCTGTACTTTGATCTTTGGAAAAGAAAAATAAAGAAATATTCAGATTTCAACATAAACTATCCGTGTACAAATATAACGATTATCAGCCGAGATCATTTTTATTTTTCATTGAATTCTAATCAACAATGTAGATTTCTCCAATCCATTCTTTTTTGCAGTTGTCGCTGTATCTTCAATAAATCATGCATTCCACTTAAGATTTCTTTTCACAACAGTTTTCAGATGACATATTACATTTCTACAGCTGAAATTCCAATAAACTAACGAAGGAAGTCTCTCAACTGATTAATCACTTTTAAGTTGAAACTATGTGCACCCTATTTGGTTTATGAATATACCGAAAAGAATTCAGGTGTATAACTCATCACTGCTAATGTATTACCTTTTAATGGTATTCTTCAATACAATGCCGTGGTCCTCTCAGCAACACCAGGAAAGCTGATTTTAGAATTACGCCTTCAAACTTTGCATAGAAACAAGTCTTAACAAGAATAGTTTATTGTGAAAGTTTCACGTAGAAATTCTATAATCAGCTTTCCTGGTGTTTCTGAGGGTGACCACGGCAGTGTATTGAAAAATACCGTAAAAATAAAATATGTCAACAGTGATCAGCTATGAGCTCAAATGTTTTTTTTGGGATATTCATCATTCATTGGAATCTGCATGATTCACATACTTTCGGCTCAAAACCGATTAATCAATTGAAAGACTTATCTCCTAAGTCGATCCGTAAAACTTTTTATTGTGCAATCATTTCTGTTACAGAAAATAAGTAATTACAACTATTAAACGTCAGTTTTCGCAAGAAATCTAATTGTTTTACTGATACAATACATTAAAATTTGGATATATTTGAAACAGATGCATCGAATATAAAAACACTTTAGATCTTTATTGTTCAGCTAAGCCTATAGCGAAGCAATATTGTCTTGAACTAGGAATATTTTGATTTCCTAGGATATTTTCATACTATCAGAAATTAGTATCTGAAAAAAATACTTGATTGCAATTAATTTCATCAGTTTTGGGATATTTAAAGTGCCCAAAATACAAAATTAAAGCAGAACTTTTGTTGCTTCTTTGTATGTGGTTACACACAGCATGACGAGCTGACCAATAATATGTGTGTTTTCAATTTTTGTAAAATGAATTTTCAGAGGAAAATTTTCAATTTTTTTATTTCTTTTAAATTTCAAAATTGTTTGTTTCAAATTTAATGTGAAACAAGTAGTTTTGAAATTTGAAAGGAATTAAACAATAAAAAATTTATTCGTTATCGAAAATTGACCTATATTTCAGAAAAAGTAGGTCATTTGAAAAAAATTGAAAACTTTTTCCTGCAAAATGATTCCAAAAAATTGAAAACGCACATACTCTTGATTAGCTCATTACGCTCTATATACTCGTATATAAAAAGAAGAAAAAAAACATTCTTTTAATTTTACATTTTCGACATCTTACAGTTATTTAATCAAAATGAGAATATTACAGTATTAGTATAACAGAAGAAGAAGAATAGTTTTTTAATATGAATTTTATTTTATTGGTTCAATATTATACTGATGAATATTAATCATTGATTTTTCATTCTATTTTTTCGAGCACAAAAGAATTGTTAATGATATAGGATTGTCGTGATATTTTCTATTTAAAGCATCAAAGGATCGATTAAATAATATAAAATCATGTTTATTCTATTGTTTAATTTATTAATAATAAAATTGCAAAATAAATTTTTGACAAATATCATCAATAATTATTTATGTTCATAAGATGAAGTATCGAAATCGGATAATCACACGCTCAATGTAAAAAATAGAAAAAGTGAAAACTCAAAGACTAGCGTGATCATAACCGATGATGATTTTATTTGTTTGCTAATATGAACAAAATTGTAAACAATATGATGCTTATTATGAGATTTTTCGATATGATTTAGAAGACAAATTTAGTTAGTCGATCGAATAATTGATATGTTGTAGGTTAGATTAATAATGAATCTGAAGAAACATAAATTATTGAAAAAAAAAATCGTATGAAAAGATCATTTAATATTTCGAATCATGATTGAGTAGAATTATTTTAAAAAAATGGTTTAATGTCAACAGAAAATTGACATTTAAGCTGATTAACTAATAATCGAGATTTGACTTATGTATCATGAAATATTTTTTCAATAGTTTAATATTTTTAAAACTAAGAAAAAAGGAAATAGATATTATTTATTCTTGTTGTTTCAATAAGAGAATATTTAAAAAGTCCAATTAAGTTATTTGTGAAAGAGTTTTAAATCACACAAAAAAAAGACCTTAAATAAAAAACTATAAAAATTCTTTATTGTAATTGATAAAGATTTTTAAAAGTGACACAAAACTCGTTCTTTTCTTTTGAAATCTATTATAAACATAGGCAGTGGAACATTTTGAATCTAGAGTAGACTCAACAATCTTTATAAGACTCTCGACAGGTAGTTAAGATTAGGAAAGAATAGATAGACCAATCTATTTATGTCATTCAAATGAAAGATAGTTAATACGACTTGTTTCCAACTCATATTTTGCACTGTATAAAGGTAGTATGGCTTCGAAAAAAATTCACCATTTGCACCAAAAAAATGTGCACTTAAACAAACATGTCAACATTTGTCCTTATTTAACTTCGACTCTCGAAAGAAGTGTTTTCAATTTACTTTACTGAGAACCAGAATTAATAGTGAAGCAACACTGTTCACAAACAAAAAGGAATGACATTGTAGGTTTGCTCGTTTTGTTGAATATGTTTCATTGACATGTAAGTTTAACCATTGAAAACGAAGAAAACTTTCGACAACCTGTAGTTTATTGAAATCGAATTTCTCATACAATTCTTTTTCATTTGTATCGAAGAAGTATTACTTCAAGTCGTTGGTACTGTGAAAGTCAACATTTAGTCATACAAAATTCAATATTGCCTCAAAAATGTTTTTCAAATCTGTTTCATTATAAAAATGTTACTATTATCTCTCTAACTCGGTGGAAAGTTTTGACGTTTGTGCAAGAATTTCGATGCACTGCATCTAATGAAACGAGAAATAAATATTTGAGTCTACTCAAGCCTCATGTTTTCGCCATCTATGATCATAAATATGAATCCGAACTCAATATTTCGAGTTTCAAGTGTAAAAGTATCAACATTTTAGTTTATGAAAACAAATAACTGAATAGATTATGATTTCTATTCTAAATAATAAAAAAAACGAAATTTTATATTTCAATATATATATTCGATGTCAGAGTAGATCCAATAGGTTAATACAATAATAGAATAATTTTAATTTGATTCAACTATTAGTCTTCTATCTTCAATAGAATAAAGAATCTAATTGGAAACATCTATTGATATTCATTGGAAAGAAAATACATGAAGAATCATGAGAATTATTAAACACGAATTTCTTTTTTTGTTTTCATTCATTCGTTCGATGGTAACTATTTATTTTTCAAATGAATGTTTATTATTTTCATCTTCTTGTTTTTTAACAGAAAACAATACAACAACAATAAGCGTTCGAATAGAAAACTATCATTGTCGCCGTTGTTAATGACTGTTTATAATTTGAGTTTGGTACGACGAAAATGACGTCGTTTTGAATTGTATCGAATTGTATTACCCGTACGCATACGAACCTAAGTAATATAAAAAATCATATGATTGAAAATGATTATTATTTTAAAAAATATAACTTACCCATTGTGGAACAGGTCGATTTTGTTTTTGTTTTTTGGCAAGAACTTTTTTTATTTTAAGTGTCTTATGTGAAGGCATCTAAATGATTAAAAATATATGTAGAAATATATAGAAAAAATGTTTCAATGCTCTCAGTGAAAACTTGGTGATTAGTCAACAGTATATTTCTGTTGGTAGATTTATCATCCTTGAGCATATTTTTAAAAATTAATCAAAGTTAATATAAATACTTTATATGATCGAAAATTTCAACGATCGAGATGATTAAATATCTGAAATAGATTAACGTAATTAATTAATAATAATTTTTCTTATCATTATAAATATATTTAATAGTTGTTAATAACTTGTTAAAAAATATTCTATTTTCTCTTAGATAATTTTTAATATACAATTTATGTTTTCTTTTGTCTCTTGAAAATAGATATTTTATTCTACTTTCCGAAAGATAGAAAAAGCCTTTTATTATACTAATATAACCAACAAACGATGAATGTCGTGCTCGTCAATATTATCTCCAAACCGATCTGTTCGATAATTTACTGTCATTATCCAATTTGCTTCTACAATAAAATAGTCCCTCTATGTTCAGCGGATAATATTTACCAAATGATAGAGTTGAGATTTTTCATGAATGAAGAAAAAATAACAGAAAACTCTTACTGCTTACAAAATCTAAGCCAAATGTTTTCTAGAAATTTCTATTATACACAAGAACCTCTTTGTTAAAAGAAAACAACAAATTATGGCTCTTTCGAATTGTATTTCATTGAACCAATCAATTTTCTGTTGCAATATCCTTGAAAATAAAACTCCATCAAATAAAAATATTATATTAAGTGAAAATTTCATAATAATAATAAGTTTTTGTTTTAGTTAATTTATTTTCACATTAAACTGTTAGTTTTGCTTAATTATAGATGTCGCTAGTATCTTACTGTCCTACTATAGTTTTATTTTGATATTACTAAGCCACGTCACAACGCATATTTACCATGGAATCGTCGTAAAAAAAGTTATTTAAGAATTTAGTGGTTGAGAAACTATTATTTTTTTGAGAAGATCCAGACTTGAAACATAAGATATGCGTAACTGTAGATGTTGGTGAAGAAAATTGTAGACAACGCATTTTTGACAATGTTGAACAACTAAGAAACATCATTAAAACTGAATGACACAAGGTGAGAGTTTGAAAATGTGTACAATTGATCAACATAATATGAACATGATGATAACTTATGACAGATCAAAATGACAGTCAAATATAGGAATATTGATAACGTGATATTGATTTACTTCTTTTTGTTGTAATTTTCGGTTTTTAGATTTTAGTCAAGAAAATTGCAAACATTTAATAAAATAACACATAATAATTTTGTTTATTTCTAAATAACAGTAGAAACTACAAGAATCACAACTTACAGATATTTACTCATTGGATACTACTATATTTTGCTACTGTTATAAAAAATTTTCTCTCATTGTATATCAGAACCACAAAATTTGAAATCATTCAAGTAATTCTAAAGAATCCACTTATACAACTGATATCAGTCTATCGATTATAGCCATACAAAACATATTGCGAAACAGATTGAAATGCTATAAGACATTTTTTATCGAAACTTTTATTCAACTCTTCCTTGATGATATATTGATACAATTATTCGAATTAGAAATACCGACGGATAAAATTACATCACAAATATTAACATCCAACCAATATTACACGATTTACTTCGATGAAATAGACAAATGACTAAAAAAATTTATGGATATACACATCCTGGTATGATAAGTCAATTTGAAGAAATCATAGAATACTTTGAATAACAATCTACTCTATTGCAGATAATTTAGCTACTGTTAAGTCAAATACATCAACAAATGATATGCACATTTTCGAATGAAATTTTTTATTAATAAATTTATGAATGTAAAAAGTCTTTTCTTGTTATTTAACCAACACTCGGTGGATGTGCTACTTTGCCTTGTTCATCAACATGAACTCGAACCCGATCTAGTCGATAATCCATAGTAACCATTGAATTTGGTTGTACTATATGAACTTGCGTAAAACCTTAGGAAAATAGAGAAAAATGCTCAACAAATATAAATGACTCTAAATTATCATACCAGTTTCTCTTTTAATTATTTCAACGGCTTCATTGCCATTTTTACCAACAAGATCAGGCCATCTACGTGGTTCGTCAAACATTTTTTTTTTGTCGTTGAATTAAATCCTAATCAAACACTCTTCTTACATGAAAATACACCTGCTTATATACAGAAGCAAAATATGACATCCTACGTTTTGTGAATCATATTTACTCAACGATAGATGCTGATTGTTTTATGAGTAGAAAAAAAAGGTATTCTTATTGTTTTATCATGAGTAAGAAGGTCGAAAGATATTTTTATGATAGCTATCACTCAAAAAAAGAAAGATTAAAATAAAAAAAGAAAAAGATTCTATTCCATTAAACCAATCAATTGTCTATGTAAAATACTAACTTTCAAATGCAATACTACTAAACAGAAGTATTTGAGAAAAAGAAAATTTTCGTGATAATTAGTATAGTTTCAAATAAAATTTTTATTGTATCAATTAATAGACGTCGCCACCAGAAAACATCCATAGAACATATATCTTGCAGAAACAAGATAATCTTCTTTTTATGATGCAGGATCTGAAGGATAATATTTGAGTCCAGCAGAATACCCAAATCACTTAATTGATCGTGATCCGATAGAGATTTGGTCTAGTATTGAAACTCGTCGTGATTTTCTATTATTATCATTAGTAACCAGAAGAGTACATGTCATATTAGCGACGAGTGCTTCGACGAAAAGATTATTTAGCTTAGATGAATTGATATTTACTCAAAGACGAGCACATTTATCACCAGATCAAAATGGACAACACGATCTATTCTTTTTTATGAGAAATTCATGAAAAACAAAAGCAATAAAAACAAAAGTTATTCTTTCTTATTGTTTATCTGTTTATACTGATTACACATTGAATCTTGTATCTTTATGGTTGTTTTACTACTGTCTTATTCATCTTATAGATATCAACTATCTTTTTATTTTTCATTTCATTTCTGCTGGAAAACATGTAATAAAGTTTATTAACATGATTATTGTGAAGGTCCTTTGTTCTGCATGACGTATCTTGTCAGAACGAGTTTTTTATGCCCTTTCCTGTACTCAGCAAAACAGAATGACTGAGTGAAAATGTCCTGTAGAAAACAAGTCAGAATGAAGAAAACCTTCCTATGACGTTCTTTGACTGTTGCATCAAATATATTATTAAAAATTGAATAGAATATGTCATCAACAAATGATATGCACAACTTCGAATGAATTTTTTTTAGTAAATTTATGAATGTCAAAAGTCTTTTCTTTTTATTTAACTAACAGTCGGTGGAGATGCTATTGTGCCTGCGTTGTCAGCATATACTCTAACGTGATCTATTCAATAATTTATACAAGCCATTGTATGTTACTTTTATAATTAGAACTTGCGTGAAATCTTAAGAAGATAGAGAAAAATTTCCAAATATAAATGACTCTCAATTATAATATCAATATTTTTTTAAAAATTGTCTCGCTGCCTTCTCTGCCATCTTTACCAACAAGCTCAGACCATTTACATTGTTTGTCTTCCATTTTTTTCCTTGAATTCAATCCTAATCAAACACTTCCTTTACATGAAAATATATCTGCATATATACAGAAGAAAAACAATGTCCTATGTTGTGTGAATAATATTTACTCAACCAATAGATACTAATTGTCTTATGCCTAAAAATAAAAAGTTATTTTTATTACTTAATTAAAGTTCAGATAAAAACAGTCGATGATATTTTTATCATTACGATTACTTAAGAAATTTTATATGACTGTATGTACTTCTATTTATTTAAACCAATCAATTGTGTTTTTAAAAAATAACTTTTAAATGCAATACTATCAAAATAAAACTATCTTGAAAAAAAGAAAATTTTCTCAATAATTAATATATTTTCAAATAAATTTTTATATTGTTATCAATTAGTAGACGTCGCCACTATCTCTCCTAACATCATACATCACATTTTATTCGAAGTTGTTATGTGTTATATGACAAGACATACATAAATATATATTTGTTTGAAGATATTTTGAGACAAAAAAGAGTTTGCTTAGTTTTAAAAAAAATATATTGAAATGACAACATCAAATCATCGTCATTCAAATAATCATCAAGAAATAAATAATGGTCATCATTCTAATAATAATAATAATAATCAAATAAATGATATTGAAATTGATTCAGGTATTATGAAAAACTTTTTTTTATTTAAAATTCTTCTAATCTTCTGTTTATTTTTATTATTTTAATAGAATTATTAGAATTAGAAACTGCTTTAAATGATATTGAAAAAGCTATGGATAAAATTGAATCACAAAATTCAAGTATTCAAACAAAATTACGTGATTTACTTGAATCCAATAGACAAATGGCTAAAGAATTTACTGATATACGGCGTGGTATGACAAGTAAATTTAAAGAAGTAACTCAACAATTAGAAGAAATGCCAGGCATAGCACATGATTTAGCTGCTGTTACATCAAATACATTATTAAAAATTGAACAGGATATGTCATCAACAAATGATACGAACAATATTGAATAATTTTTCTTTTTTGACTCGTTTTCAAAACAAAATCATTCCTTTTGTATTCATACATTTAGTTGTTGCACATTTAATCTCTTTCTTTTTTATTTGTAAATCAATATGAATTTTAATGTGTAGGTTTATTTTGTTTTTGTTTTTTTAGATTATCAATTCTTCTTACAAAAATTAAGTAAAAAAAAAACCAAAGAAGAGACAAACAAGAATTATTTTTATATATCATCATGAGTCGAACAAATGTTAAACAAAATATTGACACACGACGTGTTGTAGGTAGTATGTGTAATTGGGGAATGAATATCGGATAATTTAATCAAATTTCATTTCTTTATTCTTTTTTTTTTCTTTTACATTAAAAGACACAGGAATTATTTACATTAACTTATGGAGCATTTGTTGCACAAATTCTTAATGATTATGAACATGTTGATGAAGTTAATAAACAACTTGATAAAATGTAAGTTTTATAAAGAAAATATACAAATTCAACTATTTTAATAATAAAAAAAGATGAAATTATTTTTTTGACATTTATAAAGAAACTATCACAGAAATTCCAACATCATATTATGAACAAAACCAAGCATTTAATGAAACTAAGATAGAATTCGATCGAAAATTTTATCAATATATAAGTCCAATAATGTATAGAATATCCTAAAGATATCAGTCGAATCAAAAGTTTCTTGCTTGAGATATTCAAATGTTAGTTAAATGATCATATTTTAATAAGACAATTGAATTATTCGTGAATAGCTCTTTTTTATTATATATAAACACAATCCAAAAAAATAATCATTTTAACATATAAAGATCCTTAGGCATAGACGATAATTAAAGAACCTTTCGAATCTAGTATTATCTGAATCTTCATATCTTTTAGTCAGAGGTGTTTCAGGGTCGTCAGGATTAGGGAGTTGAACAGTTTTTTGTAATTAGCTAACAATAAAACGCTGGAACTACGCTAGAGAAAAATAGTGAGATGGGCTTAGAGATGTGTGGAGCTGGGACCACGAGAAAAAAATTGCAGAGATTAAAACTCAAGTTTATAGTAAAATATTCGATAGTTTTAAGCAAATTTTCTTATAAATCATATCAATCAGAACATAAGTCAAGAGAGATGAACTAAAAGTGCTAGTTGTTGATTAAACAAATCAAAACTAAAATCACCGGGACTAAAAATACTTGATTCCACACATTGCTATTTGAGGTACGTGCTCGCGATATCTCTGCTTCTAATGATAGTTTTATAAAATATAATTTTACATCATTATCGTAATTGATGAAATCATATTATATTATTCTAGTGGTTATAATATTGGTGTTCGATTGATTGATGATTTTCTTGCTCGTAATCCAACTGTTGGTCGATGTCATGATTTTCGTGAAACAGCTGATGTTCTTGCTAAAGTAAAAGATTATTGTATTACAATAAATGAATAATTAATGGATTTTATTTTTATTTTTTAGCAAGGTTTTAAAACTTACTTAGGTATAACACCATCAATTACAAATTGGTCACCAGCTGGTGATGAATTTTCATTATTACTTGATGGTAATCCATTAACGGAATTTGTTGAATTACCTGATGGACCAGGTCAAAAATTAAGTTATAATCAAATGATATGTGGAGCAATACGTGGTGCTCTTGAGATGGTTTGTTTTTTTTTTGTTTTCTTTTTTTTATTATTATTCTTTCATTTTGATTCATTTAAAGGTTCAATTAGAAGTTGACTGTCGATTTGTTCAAGATCAATTAAAAGGTGATAATACAACTGAATTACGAGTTAAATTTTTAAAAAAATTAGAAGATGCTTTACCTGTTGGTGAAGATTAAAGATTATATTAATTGTATAACATCAAATTATGCAATTGTTTCTTTCTTTTTTCTTATATGTGCATTTTCATTTCCATTTGTCTGCTTTGTGTATGTGTGTGTATGTATTGAACGATAAAAAACATCAATGTAATTCGTGTTTGCAAAAGAAAATAAATGATTGATTATGTCAAAAATTTCCTTCTAATTTTGCTTGACAAAATAATCATAGACAAAATGAAAAAGCTCAACTTCATTGGTATTGACCTATTATATATCTATTATTTGTTCTTCAGCTTCTTCTTCTATATCGAATGTCACACATAGTACAAGTGAGATATATGAACATGACATATATGTGGGACATCTTACAATTACCAATGAATCCTCTCTATAATTTAACTGTGTTCATTTGGTTTTTTTTTTTTGTTCTTCTTTTTCTATCTTCAATTGAAAATAGAACGAGCGCCGATATGATCAAACGGTAATAATAAGGAAATAAATAAGTTGCTTGTTAGTATGCCTGACAAATTTGATCATCGCCTTCTTGTTGACTGATATTTGATATGGCTCGTTGCACTGTCTGGTCATTATTCGTTCTTTTTCTATATCGTTCTCATCAGATTAGAAGCTTAGGTAAATAAGCCTTGAACTTCCTTTTAATTCAAACGGACTTAAGCGACAAAGCAGATATATACATATAGCTAGTAGTATAATGATGATGCAATCTTATAACAACTAAAAGCAATGACGACTAACTAAATCTCAATTGACACTTCGACGATGAGAAGAATAAAACGAAGAAGAAGAAGAAGAAGAAGAAGAAAAAGAAAAGTTGCTTTACAGGTATGTACATTGATTATTACCAGAGAAATATAAAAATTTTACCATATGTTTGACACGTCTTTCACTAATGTATATGTACAATATTTGCACAAATTATACCACTTTTCTTTTTTTTTCTTCTCTTTTATCAATAGACAAAAGTCGGTTGCTTGTCGTCCTCAAGAAATAAGATCTGACCCCTAGTGTTGTTAGCAATCTCTATTGCCAATCTCCTTTTTTTAATCATACATATATATGTATGTACACATATACATAATAATCACAGGTTTTTCACGGATAATCACCAAAGAACATAATAGGCATAAGTAGAACATACACATATGTATATATATATATAACTACTAAGCAAACTTCCATAGTTCAACAGAACTGTTCATGGCATATTCATAGGGTTGTTATCATTCTCATACAAAATGTCTATATATTTGTTCAATATTATTTCACACTTAACGTAATACAATAGAAACAAGTCGATTACTTTCTATAGTGTTTAGTTATATCTTATTCATTTCGTTATTATATATATATCATTGCTTCCAGGTACAGCATATCATTTTCTTCATAAATTGGTTTTGCTATTCTCTTTTTCATTTTTCTTTTGATAAATTGTAGTAGAGCGAGTCTGATGACCAAGCTGTTTCACCTGTTGGCGGTGCAGCATGCATGGCAAGTTTGATCTTTTTTATAAATTGATTCATCGTTATTTATATTCTCACAGGAAAAAGAAAGTCGCCGATTTAATTGCACATTTTGATTGAGCAACAGATTTTTTTATTGATATTCATTTATATATGTCCTACTTGTCGAATTGGCTCATTAGATAGATAGTTATATGAAATATTAGAGATAAATTACGAACAATACTTTCATATGAAAATGTGATGTAATTTTAAAATGCTTACCAATTGACATAAATTGAATCTATCCATTGCATGTTTAACTATACTCTTTTTGAAGATGGTCACCTTTTAGATATCTGTGTATGTGAAAAAAAAAAAAAAAAAAGAAGAAAGAGTTGTTCATGCGAAACACATTATTGAGCGGTGAACTGTATATTTATAAGATAGGTGTAGAGCGGCTGAAGTGCGCGAGAATAGAAGATTGATCATAATCGATATATGTAGATATGATGATGATGATGATGATGACAACTAGACAAAAAAAAGAGACAAATCGTTCACCTTCAAATGAGTGATGAGCGAGTTTATAAATGTATATATACAACCAATTAGGCTTGCTCTTTTTCTTTTCTTTTTTTTTTTAAACATTTTACTCAATTCATATAATAGTAGTTGCTATCAGTGTCTTATTTTATCGGACTAAAATCGTCACGGAGTAAAGGCGACGGTGACGACGACGACGACGATGAGAATAATATTAAATGAAGCGTGGAAAATGGCAATATAATTACGAGATGCAAACATAAATAGGGATAAGATCCAATTTGAGATTAATCGAAAGGTTTTTGATTTTGATATTAAATAGAAAAACATACCCACCCACACACACAACAAACAAAGAACGATGACATCAGTGTGTTAATGTTAATAGTGTTTTTTTCTATCAACTTTTTGATGTGTGTTCCGTTCCTTTTCTTTTTCTTTTTTTTTTTGATTTCTATAAAAATAATACAGTCGATGATCATACCTTTTCATCCGTATTTATTCATTGACAAACAATACGTCTTTGCCGTATGTATGTTTGCATAACACTTATTAGGTCTCTTCATCAGTTGCCGTTGCATGCATAAACACATCTATGGATAGAGATGACCGACCGAATTGTAGAGATTAATTGTTTCTGTGACTAGAGTCAACTAAATGTGTTATATCAATCGTTTTCACTTACACATTCTAATCGTTTGATCATCTCATCATGTTTTCAATTTTTTTCAAATTTGTCTTTGCATATATTTGTTATTTTCAGCACATCCTTCTATTTTATGAGATGAATTGTTATATATATATGAAATAGATACGTGACAAAAGGCTATATAATCATATTCTCTAGATGTGATGGGAAACGAAATTTCTACTTCATATCTCACGATATATATTTCCGGATATGTATTAAGTTTTGACCTTTTCATTTAATCAACAATAGAATGTATCAACAGGCGAGTTGATTTCCGGTGATTTCCCTTTTTGTTTTTTACACTAATATAAATTATCCTTAGGCTGTATCATAGCAGATGTTAATTGAAAATAGTAAAGACAATCTGTTGACTATTCACTTTGAATGATACACAAGATAAAACATGACTATCATGATATTTACCTGTGCTTTCATTTTGAACGAGAAAAAAAGTAAAAGGAATCAAATGAATAAAAGGTTTCAAGGCTAATCTTATTCTGAAGAGGATGGCACTATTGCACTTACGTGCATGTTTGCTCTCTCTCTCTCACTCTCTGTGTCTCTTTTCGATGGTAATTGGGTAGAAAGAGAAAAAAAAAAAGGTTGTTCTCTCTATATTCTCCCTGTCACTTATTGTACAGTTCTTTCTCTTACTCGTTTTTTTTTTCTTTCTTGCGAGACGTTATATTTCAATTCTACGTTTATATATTCTGTCTTTTTCTCTTTTTTTTTTTCAATCATTAGAGATTTGATTGAACATGTTGATGACAAAGCTAAACAGATTCGGCATTGAAAAGAAGTTTGTGATAGTTAAACGAATAACAATAGTACTTTAAACGTTGATCGATCAGTCATTCGAAGTTGACTGAACATTACAGTAAGTCATATTTATATCTTAATCTTGTTTTTATTGAACAATAAATCTGTTTAAGAATATGATTAGAGATGATCTTCGTTTGTAAACCCTTCTTCTTTTCTTACTTAGTAAATACTCATCCATCTTGGATTTTGACATATATATATATACTCGTGTTTACACGAATGACTCTTCTAAATTTTATGTTACGTATTGTGCGTACATAGGTAGATGCACTCGAAAACGATGTAGTATATTTGAGGTGATGATGGTAAAGAAAAAAGATTGATTTTGGCTCTTTTTTTATATAGCTAGTGATGGGAACGGCGAGAGTCGCATCCTATGAATAATGTGCGTGTGTATGTATGTGTGCGTAATCACTTGAACATAACAGAAACAAAAGAAAGGCAGACTGAACACGGCACGTTCAATTTTTAAACAATAGAAAGAAGGTAAGATTGGTGGAAATAGTCAAAAGAAAAATTTTTTACACATATACATAAAGTTTAAGCATTGAATTTATTATAGTATGGAGTCAAGTCAAATGACCGCCTACTACTTAGATAAAATATAGAGTTGTTTTTTTTTTCTAATATATTTGAATTATTTATGAAAATAAACAATAACAAAAAAAAGAATTTCTATTATGAACTATTTTATTTATTTTTTCATTAAGATTGACTGCTATTGCGATTGATGGTCCTCCATCTTTTGGTCGATGAGTACCCTCATCATCAACGAAATCAGCCTAGTGCTGCTACTCTTAATGGTCATCATGACGCGTGCACAAGGTATAGTCTTTCTTGTACTTAGACATAGTCTGCTTTTAAGTGTCGTCAATGAACGGTCACCGTATGTGTGTTGATGGTGTCGGTGTGAGAGTTCAACTAATTAGTATTCATTGATTATTGTTGTATTCAAAAAAAAAAAAAGAAGAAAGACGAGAGTCAAAGGGGCACCAATACAATATGTCAACAAATATACAGAATACAAAGACTGATAGAAATTGGAGAAATAAAAAATGATTGATGGAATTGTAGGATTTATTTTTCAATTTTTTCAAACATATATGTGACAATAAAATCAAATGAACCGCTCTATAATACTTTAATCAAATTTATAAACACGTTTGATATCTTATAGAATAAATGTTTGACGATGAAATTTTTTATCAAAATAAACTTTTTGTTTTATTAAAAAAGTAAAAACATTTAAATGGTTTCCTTAGGTCAACCATGTACACTTCAATTTTTGCCTGCACTTCAAATTATAACTATGCTCGAAAATACTGAACCCGGAAATCTTGTTGCACGTCTTCAAATAACTGGTACATTATCAGAAATTTCAACTCGACTTGTTTATAATAGTTCAGATGTAAAAACAAATGGAACTGATTATTTTATTTTAAATTTTACTGATCTTTATTTACGTTCTCGTAAGTTTATATTTAATTAATAAAACAAAA